GAATTGGAAAATGAAACCCAGAAAAAATGAATTAAATTGGTAATTTGAAACCTGAAAACAAATTGAAAACAAAATCGAACGCAAATTAAAATGAATGCAATAACGCAAACGAACACAAATTAAAAGCAAATGAATTAAAAAAAAAGGCAAAACAAAAGTAATTAACAAAAACGAATAAAAATCATGAATCACAAGCATGAACTAGGATTACTATACCGAATTTATCTAAATCTCAAATGCAAAAGAAATCAATTGATCAATCTTGCAGTCAAGAACAAAAACAAAATTCAATCAAATTATACATGCACCAATCTTAATTAAGAATTGCGAGAATGTAAAAAGACAAACTCAGAGCAATCAATTAATCTTTCAATTCACGTTTGAGACAAGATGATTCGCGAGAAAAGAATAATTGAGAATGTAACAGAATCCGAAAAGAGGCAAGTGAATGAAACAAAAAAGATTTTCTCTCAAAAGCAGGAAAAAGTTATAGAAAACGAAAATCATGAAAAGGGGAGGTTGCAAAGTTAACCTTTTGACCCCTATATATATATTGGTATTAAATGAAAACGGAAATAAATGGGTCACGGCTACCGCAAGCAATTATAATAGAAGCCCTAAATAAAAACTCTAAATATAAATGGTATGTTTTAAGTCTGGACTTCAAAAATTAATTAAAAAAAATAGCTTTGAACTCCAAAGAACATGATTCATATGTCCAACAGAAAGTTAGGAATCCATTACAAAACAAATCAGCCAAAAAAGAGATCTACAGAAAAAGTTATAGCCAAAATAGTGAATAAAGGTTAGAATAGCGAAAATATGAAATATAAAGTAAAGATAGTAAGTCTTCATGAAAACTCTAATTTAATGCAAGAAATGCAAAAAATACTAAATGAAATAAATAAAGAGAGAAAATATATTTTGAAAGATGCAATAAGAGTATATAAATGTGAATATAAAATATGAATCATCGTTCAACATTTTTATTTAGCTTAAAAATGTGTTTAGTCTAAATTAATCCATTTAAAAATTACATTAATCGTAATATCCAAACCCGATCAAATCAATGACATTATTTAGGTAAATCTAGATATAAATTTTACTTATTTAATTAATTTTGGTTAAGCACATTTGTACCTAAATCTGTCCGAATCCGACCGCTGATCAGTAGTTTAGACACGACAGGAGTTTAACATGACCGAAGTTAAAGAAGCAGCTCAGGCAATGCAAGACACATCCACCAGACTTTTTGCCAACTTTGGTTTCATACAATTGATTGTGTGTTTAAATTAACATCAAATCTTCTAAAAAATAAATTTATTTTAATATTATAAGATATAAATTTTTTATATTAATTTTATGAACTTTTCAAACATTTGACCGACTACCACTAGGATTTGTCGTCTTTCATCTCTCACCACTAGCCCAATATCCGTGCTTTTCTGCATCACCATCTTGGATCAAAGTTTAATTTCAAATAACCTTCCTTTGTAGGCTTCCTTCAAACATGTTGTTTTTTTGTTCTAAATAAGTTTAAAACTTTAATCTAATATCATGCAAACAGAAACTATTATATTCATGTAAAGTCGAAAGTTTCACTTTAGTTAAAGTGTTGTACCATATCGCCCATCATCCATCTGTCAACTTTGGATAAACCATCGCTCAGATTCATTTCGGATTCATTTTTAATCTTAGAAGTCTCAACTGTCACATTGACACTCTTTCACTACTTAACATCTTTAACATTTCTCACGCATTATTAATTTTATTAGATGCACCATGTATTTTCCGTTGAATGAACTTCTGTATTTAAACAATTATAATATACATATGACGACAGATTCACTTCAACTAACGACACCTATATATAAGAAATGAACTCTTTGGCCTAGGTACACTATCTTACTATCCATACCCTTACTTTGGTTAGATTTTCACTGACTTGGACATTGGAGTATTTTTTTGCAAAACCCTACCCTTATGAGACTGTTGAAACATCGTGTAAGACCTTACTCAACCTTCAGATACCTCTTATACCAAAAATTCTGAAGGTACTAACTATGCAGCACTAAGCACTAGACATCTCTTCAGAAAGAAAATGTGTGTACTAATACAATATATTATATATGAGCCTTTTGATTCCTCTGTTATGCCAAATTTTGGTCTTTGGTCCTTGTACCTCAAGAACACATGTGATGACATATTGGCAAGTTGACAACACAGACCAAAAAATAATTATAGAAATAAAAATAAAAATTTTAAGATATAAGAGCAAAACTAATTTTGAAAAAAACTATAAGAACAAAAAATGCATAGAAAAATTTTATTTAAATAAAATTAAGTTATGTTGTTTAAAAAAAATTATTTTTTTAATTATAAGAGCTCTTGCAGACTTACCTTCTTAGTTAATAGACGGAATTTAATAGAATAGATAATGTAAACGATAAGAGCAAATGAGCAAAAGAGGATCAATTAAATTACTCCAAGCATGAACTTTCACTCTATTCAACCATCTGGTAAGGAACATAAGCAGCCTAGATCTGCCCAACCACAAATATCTACTTGAGCGCGTGGTCATAGACAAAACTTATTATTTGAGTTGTTGAAAAAAGGATAGAGCCAATTTTGATAAATTGATTAATTAGTTGTCCCTTAATTCTATACTTATCGTAGTCTCTTAAATTGTAAGTGTTAATAAGTTTACTCTTTAACTTTATAAAATAAATTATATATTTTAATCCTATTTTACTTTTTTTTTCAGTCATTTTATATAAAAAAAGAACTAATGAATGTCATTTTGTAAAATTAAAGATTACAGCAAAATTCTTACGAAGTTAAAGACTACAATAACCTATGTTTACAATTTAAAGAACTAAAATAGGTAATTATTCCTAATTCTTTTGCTAATTTTAACTCCATGAATGCTATGATAAGCTTCTATCAGCAAAAAGAATAGGCATGTAGCACATATCTCAAACAGGTTAGCCAGAAAGATCTTAACAATTATACAATAGGAAACACTAGAAGCACACTGCATTACCAAAGAAATCCAATTTTTCACCAAAACCAGAGTATGTATGAAGTATGATCTTTTCAGGAAACTTCTACTAATGCAGCCATAATCTTCATTCATGTCTGCTTTCAAAACTAAATTAAAAGAGAAAAAAAAAATGCATCGCCCCTCTTTTCTGTTTAGATGATGCATAATCTTAGAAGCAATGTCTAAGATAAAAAGACTTCATAACAAAGGAAAATATTATAAGATTATAAGATCTAAGCAAACGGGACACCGATAAGTTACCATTGAGGTTTAACAAACAACCAAGAATCATCCATACGATCAAAGGTCTATACTCCCTTCCTTGGATCACAATTCACAAGTTTTAACCAATTGCTGCTAGACCAATTATCCTTTTTAATTTCAATCTTGTATTATTGATAATCTGTCCAGTGAGAAGCCATAAACAATTTTACGAAGGTTCTTGATAGAGTCGTATTCTTATTCTTGCACCTAAATACCAGCTAAAAAAGTGAATTACATGAATTTAATCCAATAAAAATGGAGTCGAGAGACCCAAAATAACTTTAGAATAAGTTATTAAAAAAAAGACTTTTTTGTTAACCACGTTTTTAAATTTTGATTTTTATCACGTGGTATGATATGCGTAAGAGACATCATCTAGTGAGATAAGGTTTAATTGTTGGATAAACACCTAAACCTTAAACACCCTCTGTTTCTCCCAATCCCAAGTGTCTTAATCCTTCAATTCAAGGATGCATTTTCCATTTTGCAGTGGCATTCTTATCTTCAACGACAGAGAGATGTACAAAGTTGAATGACAAACAAACATAAGGTCCAATATAAAATTGGTGTAAATAGGATGCTTTTCACTTTAGTAAGGATGAAGCCATGGTTCCAAGTTCCAACACGTAAATATTGCAGCTTGATCGTGTTGTGTACGTAGTTTAATACAAATCATGAAAGAACCAAAGGTAGAATAGTCTTACGTGATCTCTCCGTCTAGATTAGTCTTCCGTTACGGGCTGAGAGATGCCCTTAGTGTACACACGCACACAAAAAGCTAGAATCATCCAGCAGGATTAAATTCCTAGAACTGGTGTATTTATCTAATCAAGAGGTATATGAAACAGAACCAAAAAGATGCAAGTATTCTTGAGCAGTCATTTTTCATCAGCTCATACCCAGCTAAAAAGGTGATGAGAGAAGAATTAGATATATACGATGAACAAACAACATCTTCCATCAAAGTTAAACCAACCATAAATAAAATTTGCATTGAACTAGTCCAATTGTCTTCTACAACTACAAAATCCCAGCTTTTCTACACAACTCATCTACCACTTCAATTTTAGGCATCAAGACGAGGTTTCTATTTGCTTTTCTACACTACTTAATAATTTTTTTATAAAATATTAGATTAACTGATCACGTCTAAAGTTGAAGATTCTTATAAATTAAATAAATTTTATAAAATTCCATACAAGTTTACCACTTGAATATCTAAGTTGACAGTTGATATGACATTTGATTCCTGTCTACATATGTACTTTGAATTACTTAAAATGATATTAAAAGTGGTACCATCTTTGGCATCGATTCTCTGCGTCCCACTCTCTGTGTTCCTGGGTTCCATAATACATGCTTTTATGTGCGTGGTCTCGGGAAAACCAGGGACGCATTTACATAAAATGAAACAAATAAAGAGTGGTGGGATGACCAAAGAAGGATAATATATTATGGTTGACGGACTCCAGCTCGCACTACGTTCATCGAATCGGAGTTAGATCTTGTATTGTATTTAAATTAACAGGGTATGCTCTCGTTCAGACAACCAAAATAAAATACAATTAACGAATCCTATAATTTATGCTTCTCCGCGTCTTTATTATTCCATCATATATCGCACAAGAAACGGTCCAAATCCCTTCCATTCTCCGTATAAAAAACCAATCACAAACTCAGAGCCAACACCAACACCAACACCCTCCATTTTCTTCCTCATACATTTGCCAATTGCCACACAGACATGGCTGAACCAGCAGAACAACCTAAGACTCAGAGGTACCGCATAGGCTATGCTCTCCCACCCAAGAAGCTCCAAAACTCTCTCGGAACCTCTCTGCTCGACTACGCCAAGCAACGTGGCCTCGACCTCATCCCCATCGACCCCACCAAACCCTTAACCCAACAAGGCCCATTTCACTGCATTATCCACAAACTCCAACCCCAAGATTGGGCCCAACTCGACTTGGCCCACTATTCCTCCCAACACCCACACGGGCCCGTCATCGACCCCCCACACCTAGTGGAACGCCTACGCGACCGTTCTTCCATGCTCGACGCCGTCAAGCACTTGCAAACATCTTTTCAAAACGTCACCGTTTCAATCCCGAACCAAGTGGTCGTGGACACCGACCACGCCAACGCACTCGAACAACTGAGTTCAAATCTGCGATTCCCCGTTATCGCGAAGCCCTTGGTCGCTGACGGCACCGCGCGTTCTCACGAGCTGCGTTTGGTTTTCGACCGTGAGGGGCTCAAAACGGTGAACGCACCCGTCGTTTTGCAAGAGTTCGTGAACCACGGAGGCGTGGTGTTCAAGGTCTACGTGGCGGGGGAACATGTCACGTGCGTGAAGCGAAGGTCCTTGCCTGATATAACGGAGGAGAGGGCTAAAACGCTGAAGGGGACGATGCCGTTTTCGCAGATTTCTAATTTGCACGTGCAAGATGGAGATGGAGATGGAGATGGAGATGGGGTGAACGACATTGGGAAGGTCAAAACGCCTCCTCAGGGTTTAATAACGGAGTTGGGAAGGGCGTTGAGGGAGGAATTGGGGCTTAGCTTGTTCAACGTTGATGTGATTAGAGAGAGCGATGCTAAGAATTGTGAGAGTTACATGGTGATTGATGTTAATTACTTTCCTGGGTATTCCAAATTGCCTTGTTATGAGCCATTTATGACCGATTTTTTGTTGGATTGTGTTGGGAACAACACTACTCTGAAAATTTAGGTAAGGTAGGACATGAGCGGCTACTTTTTGGGACCATGTGATGGTTGCCCCTTGCCTAATTTGGATTCCTCTTTTATTTTCTTTTCAAGAATAAATCCAAAATAATTTTATTACTCGTTACAGATTATTAAAATTATACGACTCTACTATTTTTTACTTTTTATTTAATATTTTCAATAAACTTTATTCAATCTCAAACACAAGCGGAGAGTCGAATTGAAGCAATAAAATGTTCCCATACCTCAATAGTATAATAACAATCCCCCCAAACGTGAATTATAGATTTAGGGGCAAAAAAAGAACATTTAGGACAAATACCATAAACAACCATTAACTCTATGTTTTCTTTCTTCATTATTCAACAATTTTCCATAAGCAATCTTCTAAAGAAAAAGTTTAATTTTAGGAGGTCTAACCCATTTTTAAATAACTTTAAAACAATCATTAGTTTTATTAGTTGAAATGTCATCCTTGCAAATCATTATAAGCTAATTTAATTAAAAAAATATATCATTAAGCATTAAAAACTCAATAGTAAAATCATATATAGATAGAGGATTAGATGGAGCAGTGACAACAAATTCGTTGCAGACATTCTAAGAAAAGGAGTAATTTTACTCCAATCCCACCCTTCCTTATAAGCAAAAGACCAAGAGGCAACTATATATCTAAATTAGATAGGAGACTATTAGCATATTTATTAAGATCCCAAAATTCAGTAAGCCAACTGTCGATCCAAAATCTAATCTGCATTTCATTTTAATTTTCCAATGCGGGCCTTTATAAAACCACGATCAAACATGAACAATAATTTTTGAGATATTAGACACTTGGTGATATTTATTGATTGAAAGAAAATTTCCAAACTTAAAACTCATATTTAATCTTAAAAATATTAGACCAAAGAACATAAATGAAATTTAAGATATGTCAAACTAATTTTATATTCTTCTAAATTATTTCGCAACTCATGCAAGTTGTTGAAAATAATTATGAATCATAATTATCAAACTATAATTCAGATGTAATAAACATTTCTTAATAAATATTAAATATATTTTATTAAATTATCATAAGAATATGCATCAATTATTTTATAATTAAAAAGAGTTCTTACGTTCTTTAAAATATAAAGTGAGTCACGAAACAAATAAAAAATGTTAAGAACCGTTTAGTTTGACTTTTCTTTTTTACTTTCACTTATAAAATGTTACATTATTTTTTCCTTTTCTTCAAATATTTTATAAAAATAAATTATGTATTTTTATACAGATATTTAAAAATAAAAAACACAATAAAAATAAAATTACATTTTTGTAATTAAATGTGAAATAAAAAAATACATTTTAAAAATCAAACAACACATTAATTATTATATATTTTTTATATAGGCATGTTCATACATTGTTTGATTCAAAAGAGAAATAAGAAAAAAAAAGTTAATAAATTAAAGGATGCCTTGTTTGATTGATGAGAGAAAGTGAGAAATAAATTTATTTATAATATAAATATTTTAAGAGTTATAAATTGAAAAATTTACTAATGTGTTAGTTCTTCATAAAATTAATTCCTCTGTATAAGATAATAAAGTGTGATATTGATAGATTTATTAGTATATGTGTTATGAGCTTTTATATTTTGAACACACATTTGTATTATAAATTTATTTTAAAAAATTAGGTATTTTAAATTAAATTATTTTATAAGAACATGATAATGTCTTTAGAATAAAGTAGACATCAAGTACTATTTTTAAAATATTCTTTGTTAAATATTATTATTAGAATAATATAATGTGTCGAGACTAGTATGTGAATGAAGTGATGATAAAGTCTCAAAGATCAAGAATATGAGATATTAAGTCTAAACACAAATCACATTAGAAGTAATGGTGTATTAGATTAACCTATCATAGGAACGTGTATGAATAATTACATGAGTGTTATAACCAATTTTCAATTTGATACTAGTATATGTGATTCTTTAACCTGAAATCATTATGATTTGTATATGACGAGTTCTATATTTTAATATGATCAAACTTCACTTGTAACAAAGTGAACAAAAAGTTAAATGTTAAACATACAATAAATCCCATGAAGAGATGTAAGTAACCTATATAGAATTTGGAAGACGAATGCAAGCAACATTCTCTCTAACATACTCTTTTTAACACACTCTTAACTATTAGTTAAAATTTAGTGAAAATTATAAAAATTATGTATGTTTTGATATTTGTTACTTCTAAATTAATGTTTCTCTCTTATACTTTGGTTGTTTCTAATAAATATTAGTCAATAGTTAATAGTGTATTAAAAAGAGTGTGTTACTTGTATTTCTCTTATTTAGAAAGGTCAGTTCAAGTATTAAAAAAATAGACTTTACAATGTTACATGCTTCATGATTTATGTTCAATTAGATATGAAGAAAAATGAATTAATTGCATAATTTATATTTTATAACATAAATAGATTATGTCAATTTAATGACATTCTTGATATTTGAAAATAGTGAAGTATTGCTATATGTCACTTATTATTCATGATATTAAATATAAGTTTATATTTAAATATTGTAAATCAAATATTAAAAAAAATTATAGGGTTGCATTCAGGAACAAATCTGCTAAAAAAGTCAAATTCTAGTTGGACTAAGATTATTACTTAATTGAGCCAAACTCGTAACTAATGAACACATGAATTATACCACACTCATTAGGAATTTTCCTTCTATAAGAACATATTAGATGGATAACTCTAAAGGTGTAGTCACATTCACTCTTACATAACTACTAGCATAACAATCTTCTAGAGTAACACAACAAATTTGTCAAAAATAAGTAATCCTGAATCAAGTTTATGTGTATATACTTGCTTTGAAATTGTGATAACTATAGGGACATTTAGGAATACTTGTGTTCCACTACTATTAATGTGCATATGATTCCCAACTAGATTTGCAACAAATCAAATGGTATATAATAAGATGATTATGATTCTAAATTGGCTAAAATATTAACAAAATAAAATAAAATAATCAAGCTTCATAGTTCACACTCTTAGACTGATACCAAAAAAAAAAAAAAAACTAACTAATATAGTATCAAAACTCAAATTTTAAAAGTCCAAATTAAGAAAAAGGTTAAGAAAAAAAAAAGCCATTAGACGTGTGACAATAAAAAAAATATGAAAAAAGACATTTTATCGTATCTACATTTGTTCATATACAATTTAAACCCTGATATTTAAAATTGTTCAACCAAACTTCATGTAATTATCAAACTATGGGAATAATTGCTTCTATCATAGAAAGCATCAATTTGAATGTTAAATCTCCATGTGTGTTTCACGTGACTATTTTGGTGGACAAAAATACTTCATTCTTATAATTCATTTCTGATTCCTAATTTCTGAAATCATAATCTTATTTCTCTATGTATTGTCTTCACACTCAATGTTACTTTTTCTACCGATTTATTTCTCTTCTCCATCAATTTCCACATATTCAGCTCCCTTACACTCCCTTAAGAATGTAGAGGAGTGAAAAATCTAAATACAAAAACACAATCCTTTGCCTTTGGTGCTTCTACCTCAATCACATTTCACTTTCATTCTTTTACATCTCATTTTCACCATTGATGCTGAATCCATAATGGTTCAATTCCTATTCCACTTTCTTTTCTATTGATGCAACAATCATTGTAACTAAAGGTTTTGATTATTATTTCACTCTATCTGTTATATTTTTGCTCTTTTGATTACTTTTGGTTGTCTTTGCATATAAATATTGTTCTTTAATTCTTTTTAATTCAATTTTACTTATCTTGGAGCCTTTGTTAGTATACTTTGTTTTATGCTGCTTTTTTTTAAGAAAATATATATAAATTTGAATTGTGATTCAATGAATAACATTAATTTTTCTAATTGATGTAACACTGATTTAATGGAATCATTGACGTGTAACCTTGTCTGAGTGGTTAGCATATGTGTATGCTTGCTCTTTGGCTTTAATCTAAATGGTCATTCTTGGTATCTCAGTCTAAGAAGTTTGCAACTTTGAGGGAAGGCCACAACTACAAAAATTTGGGGAATATCATCACTATAATTTGGCAAGTTTATGCTTCTAATTTATTCACCAATCTCTATCTTCTTTTTTCTCAAATTTCTTCTTTATAACTCTTTTTCTTCATTCATCTTGACAAGTCTTCTTCTTTGTTCATCTTCTTCTTTACTAGAATATTGGCTTCACTAGTCTTCTTTTTCGTTGATTAGTGAAAGCAAAGAGAAAGTTTTAGAGAATCTGGTAGAAATAATGCATAGAGAAAGGAAATAGGGTGTGTTCAATTAAGAATTAGAAATAAGTTATAAGAATGGAGTACTTTTGAAAAAAAAAATAGCTACATAAAACTGACATGGGAATTTAACATTTAGAATAGTGCTCTCTATGACAAAAAAAAAATATTTACCAGATTTGATAATTACAAAGAGTTTAGTTGAACAAGTTAAAATGCTAGGGTCTAAATTACTGTTTTAGAATAATTTTTATTATGTAATGGAATTTAATTTTTCATATTTACTTTTATTATTTTTCACCAAACTTTTTAAAATTTGAAAGTCAAAATTTAATTAAATTAAAGTTTTGATTTATTGAACTATTTTTGGAGTAGGTTTTAATATTTTAATATAGTGAGATAATGAGATATTAATATATTTTTTACCTATTCAATATCATATCTTGATTGTCTCTCTTCTCTATTACTTATTGAATTCATTTCATTTTGTCTTCTTTACTTTTCTTTTTCTTTGAAACATAAAATTCATGTCTTTTTGTTTTCTCCATTTTTCCTTCCTCTTTTGATACATTTTCTCTTTTTACCATTTTTTTCTCATTTTGTTTCAATTTATTTATAAAGAATAAATTTTCAACAATAATAATTGAAAATAAAATATTATAAAACTTTTTTTTAACAAAAATAACAAACTCAATTAAGCTTATAAGAA